CTCAGCGGAACACTTATCAGCAGGAAACTTCAGGAAAAGATAGAAGATTGTGTGATAGGCTCTAACCACACATACGCTTTACTGGAGGAGGAAATATTCCATGGTGATTGGCCACCTATAAGCCAACAACAGACAATCAAATCACAGCACAATAGGATGAAGATATCATCTACACAAAGCAATCATCAAGATTCAAATCTTTCTATACAGAACGAGGGAAAACGTCGTGAGAAAAAGAGCCCCATGGACAATTATTTGAATAAGTCATTTGATAAATTCTGATAATTGAATTTAATTATAACACTTTAAGTTTTTCTCTAGCTTTCTTTATAGTAACATAGTATTTTCATAAAGATGGCATAATGGTGATTTTTTTCCAAATGAGAAAGGTATCAATTACAAAATGCCATAACACGAAACAAAAATCTACTCTGTCAATTAAAACTGGAGACAAAACAATAGAATGAATTTACTTTTCGGCATAGAATAAAGATATGAATCCAAATATCTACGGCAGGTTCAAATGAAATGGTAGAAACTCATTGACCGGGGAATTCTCTATACATTTAGCATTCATTAAAAGTACTCTAGTTGGTAACGACATCGCGCTATTTCCAGGAAGCATTACCTTGTCAAAAGTGTGAATAAATGTGTCCACTAAAGAAAAAAATATCCATCATGTTAGTGGTCACATCGCAGGAGATCAGAACACGATACTAACATTTGATAATGTTATTACGGTAGATATAAATCTTTACCAGATGTACTTTGTGCAGGCTGTTGTGAGGATCAAACCAAAATAGCTTGCCATATTTCGATTTAATTCTGACTGAAGCAGCTGCAGATCGATTCTGAATTTTAATGCACATATCATCATCCTGTCTCTTATATCCCTCTCCTGGTAGACTGAACGTACATATCATCATCCTGTCTCCTATATCCCTCTCCTGATAGACTGAACGTACATATCATCATCCTGTCTCTTATATCCCTCTCCTGGTAGACTGAACGTACATATCATCATCCTGTCTCCTATATCCCTCTCCTGATAGACTGAACGTACATATCCTCATCCTGTCTCCTATATCCCTCTCCTGATAGACTGAACGTACATATCATCATCCTGTCTCCTATATCCCTCTCCTGGTAGACTGAACGTACATATCTATCCATATCATCACCCTGTCTTCTATCTCCCTCTCCTGTTATGACTTAACATACATATTTATCCCTATCATCACCCTGTCTTCTATATCCCTCTTGTTATGACTGAACGTACACATGTATCCCTATCATCTCCTTTTCTTCTATATCCCACTCATGTTGTGACTGTCCCCTTTCGATCACATGGATATTTATTATAACTAATAAGTAAATGCAGTATATTAACGGAAATCCTGTACTATTGTATTTTTCATTGGACAACCTATTCTTAAGTTTAATGGTGTCCTATCTGTCATGTGTTGAAAATTATTTCAATTATTAAATAAAACAAATATGAAAGCCATTCTTCTGCATTAAGTTTTGAGATTTATTACAAATTCCTTAATATCCAAATGTTTATTTGTTCATTGTTTATTTGTAATATTATCCACTATAACAATCATACGAGGCTTAGAGTATATAAAATATTCATATTTATTTTATTTTTTACCATATCAATTATCACTACACTGGGAATCGCGAACAATTTCCTTCGAACACGTTGTATTTTTAACGTATATAACTTGTACTATTGTTTGTTATGACGGCAAATTTGAGGTATTGAATAAAAATCTCTCATAACCGGGCAACAGACATGAAAAAGAAGGTCTGCTCAATAATTTTGTTTGATATTACATCTTACATATATATAAGATATATAAATTGGCTGTACTGATGCCCTTATCAACGTTTCAATATAAGAGTGTATATAAGAATGTGGTATACAATGTACCATAGTCACAGAATGTGGTATACAATGTATCATAGTCACAGGAATGTGGTATACAATGTATCATAGTCACAGGAATGTGGTATACAATGTACCATGGTCACAGGAATGTGGTATACAATGTATCATAGTCACAGAATGTGGTATACAATGTATCATAGTCACAGGAATGTGGTATACAATGTAACTCAGTCACAGGAATGTGGTATACAATGTACCATGGTCACAGGAATGTGGTATACAATGTACCATAGTCACAGAATGTGGTATACAATGTACCATGGTCATAGGAATGTTGTATACAATGCATCACAGTCACAGGAATGTGGTATACAATGTACCATGGTCATAGGAATGTTGTATACAATGCATCACAGTCACAGGAATGTGGTATACAATGTAACTCAGTCACAGGAATGTGGTATACAATGTACCATGGTCACAGGAATGTGGTATACAATGTACCATAGTCACAGAATGTGGTATACAATGTAACATGGTCACAGGAATGTTGTATACAATGTAACTCAGTCACAGGAATGTGGTATACAATGTACCATAGTCACATGAATATGTTATACAATGTACCATGGTCACAGGAATGTGGTATACAATGTATCATAGTCACAGGAATGTGGTATACAATGTAACTCAGTCACAGAAATGTGGTATACAACGGACCATAGTCACAGAAATATGGTATACAATGTAACATGGTCACAGGAATGTGGTATACAATATATTATAGTCATAGAAGACCATACGGCTCTTTTTGTTCAATAACAATATTTTAGTAAAGTTCTGATACATTCGTTTTTGTTCACATATTCCATACTATGATAAATAGTACTTACAGAACATACTCTACATTTGCACATTGGTAAGGTTTTAATTAGCTATTGTTGCCTTACCTCGTGGGACCAGATCAAGGTAAGCGACTCCTCGTTATCCATATATATCACATTGGTGTCAGTCGTTGTCAGTCTATACATAAAACATGCCACCAAAGTGCATTGTCAGGATCATTCAATACGACCTTGCTGTGTATTAGACATTTATTGCATTTGTCCCACATTTGTTGGCACTGTCCTTTCTGTTCGCAACTGTCTTGTAAATCCTTACCTGTCAGAGGACTTGGTAACCTACAAGATCTAATATTAATGCATCTAGTTACGTACATCTTCGAAAATTTCTTTACGTATTTCTTGTAATATTAATCCTAGTCGAAACTTAAAGTGTACATCCGATCTATGTACACATAACCCATTCAACACTAAAGGAATATTTTATATTTTTAGATAAAAACCGATCATCATGTTGACAGAACGGCTATCGCCACTGTCTTTGACTAAATCTGTTGTGAATTTTTTTATTATACCTCGATAGATTTTCACATATTTTACCTAATGAGATTTTCACATGTTATTTCTGGAGAGACTGTCATATGCTATACCTAGAGAGATTGTCACATGTAATACAGAGAGATTTTCACATGTCACTTTTTCAGATATTCTCACATGTTATTGCTGGAGATATTATCTCATAAAAAACCTAGAGAGATTTTCACATGTTATTTCTAGATAAAGATATATTTTCACATCTCGAAAAATGTCCACACATTATAATTGGGGATAATTTAACAAGACAATAAAAGGACGATTGTAGAACGTAACAAAGAATCGAATTTGTATACTTTTCCATGTAGGTATTGAAATATTAAATGCATTTTTCATACTACTCGACTGTTTAATTTGTTAGTACATCAACTACAATTTTACACATATTATCTTGTCAAGGATCCTCACCATAGCCAACACACCACTTACAAATCCTCCTGTACAATCATGGGTTCATTAAGTACACAAATATTATATTAAAGGTTATTCTAAACCAGACAAAATCTCTCATACAGTCTCGTTTGACATCTTCCATAAATTAATTTATTCAGTATAAAACAAACGGTCAGTTTATACAACCATATGGCTTCGATCTTGTATAAAATACATATTATTTGTTACGTAATAATAAGTAGGTGTACAATTATGTTCTGTTTTGTATCTGTGACAGGAACATGTAAACAATCAGATGGACTAGACGGTTATGTCATTCGGATGAAAGTGATTTGTGAATGTTGCCTGCGGGCTTACTTCCCATCATACGTCAGCTACGGTGAAGTACGTTGCTCCAGGCAATAGACGTCTTCACTGGACACAGGTGGAACAATGTAAAAGTGTTGTATCACTGTGCATTTTGCAGATACGACACAAATCTTAATACTTCTGTCAAAAGTGGTAGGAACTCCTCACTAATTCATACATATATCTGAACTCAAATAATTACCGAGCATCGATCACAAAAACGGTAGACATTATTGATGATGAATATTATTCATCGTTACGTTCAAGGGCAATTGTAATTTGGTTTCTGTTATAAATCTGCAGTACACTTATATTGAACCGCATATGTAAGTATTGACTACTTTCGTTTTGGATTTGCTGCTGAAAACAAAGTCTTCGAAAATATCATAATTGTAAGGACCATCGACTTTGTCCTCGGATTTACGAACGTGTCTTGCGCAACCAACAGAGATTTCATTTCGGCTGTTAATTCTGCACTGATGTTACCATAGGTGAAACAGATTAATTCTGATTGACGCAATTCATTTGTGTCGTCGCAAAAATTTCAATTTTGAGTGATTGCGCAGTAGCAATATCGTTTCAATAATATATTGACAGTGATTTTTATCAGGAAGAACGTGTGATACTCGTGTTTCGTACACCAATGAAAACGTTACATTTTGTGCAATCTACAATTTGGGTAGTTTGCGTCTTACGGAACGTAATTTGATTGAATCTATCATAATAATCTTACCAACAAAAGAAGCAGTCTGCCAAACAGAACAAGCGCTCTTCTTGTATACTGAGACGACAGTTTGAGAAATCAACACAATTTCAATCTTCATTTCTTGAGGGGATTTAACCTGAATCGTGGGGATAGCCGGTTCTTTTCTTTACTTTTCTTGAGAACAGAACATCTATAGTGTGACGAAATCTGAGGACAAATACCAATGAAACGTATGTATGAATTTAATTTTGGTTTACCTTTTCTTACTGTCGTCATAGTCTGTATCTTTTTGAAGACAGTTCCGTGTGTATTTTTATATATTTGTTACTATATATGTTTGTCTGATTTGCATACAGAATAAAACAATAAATCAATATGAAATTATCAACAGCATAATTAAAATTTTTCATGCGGGAAACCAATGTTTTTTTTAAACAGCTATTATAGAATGTAATTAAGATAGAAAATATATAACAATATCAAAGCAAAGCCTTGCAGACACCAGTACCGAACTGATGCATGTGAATAGTAATGGCACAGCCATTTATAACGGATAACTATCGATAACGATTATGTGCTAATGTAGAAAACTATCTTATTTACTTTGTACTTTTTTCGGAAGTCTCCATGTAAATTTGTTTTATATATATATATATTTCGTCCTGTCTTTGAGTTTGAATTAAGATTATGTTAGCACTTTGGAATTCTCTGTTTTTTTCGGCAATCATCTTATCGACTTTACGTAACTGATTGATGACAGGGAATACTCTACCTAGTACTTAATATATATATATATATTTATGAATTTCCTCTCGACGAAGACGGGTAAAAAGAACTACTGATGTTGTTTAAATTAGAGTTAAACTTAAACAAGACAGTGGCCCGGGCTCAATGTTTATACAAAAAATGTAAACACGGAGATTGCACGTGATAATCGCTTACATGTTCAGGCCTTACGGCCATCCTCAGGTGATACCTTTGCTAAAAACATATGTAACCAGGAACAAAGTCGCGAGAAGATTTAACCATATATGTATATATATATATGTGTGTGTGTTCTTTGTCATTGTACATGTACTAGAGATAAATTGGAATTTCGGAAAGATAATGACGATAAGTCATGACGCAGGTATATGAAAATTATGCACATTGCATTATGTAAATCATTTATGTATAATACAATTAACGGGATGATATGACTGTCATTTCAATATAACAGATGTGGTAGACAACTTCCTGTCACAGTTCGTAAACAATGGACAATACACCTTAATTATATCAACCTGTTCGTGATTACTGGATGGTTTGGAATTATCAACAATGCATTCGATACTTCGTAGTAAGAATCCTTTGTTTTGAGTATACATATTCTTATATAATTTCGAGGATTACAACAGAGGATTGATGAGTGTTTAAGGATGTGTATTAATAGACGAAACGCAATGTAACGAAACACTGTGCCGGAGTAACGGAAACATTCGTCTCAACATCTCAGTTGTTGATACATAACACGAGAACGGATTTGTAAAACAAACACGGATTTTGCTTGGATAAATTCTTGATATTATTCTATGTTAGGACGAATTATTTCAGTGTTTAATAATACTTGATTTCTGTACGTAACGTATGGTGGTATTAATATGATATGTTTATTCAGCAGAAATACGGAGTTCCCACGCCTATGCTAATCTATCATTTTTAGTGTGAAGTGTTGACCTCTTTATGGTCAGTGGACAGTTATATATCTATTTTATATATAGGACAATAACCAATCTGTTCTTTTTGTATCTGACAGATAGCTACATTTCAAGGACCTTTTTTTTGCTAAGGGCAGTTCGTAGTTTTCATCTTGAATTAAATCTGTTTTACAGATAGAATATATTAAATTAACAAAAATTCACTAATATCCTAATCGAACTCTTGATATTGATTTGTTATGATATCGATTGGTGTGTATATAGTATAAACAAAAGTAGGTTTCGTCCAACTTTGCAAACAGATTATATTTTATCAAGTTAGAATGATATTGCATTTTTAAAGAATATTTTTAAAGTTTCATGTTCTAGATAAATTATATTTATATTTTTTTTACAGAAATTTGATGTAACATCGTTGTGATATTTTGTAAATTTCTGTTAATTATTTCGATGTAATGCTCGTTAGGTTTACAGCATTCTTGGTTAATACACATTTTGAATTGATTATAACTTGTCATTATGTCAACTTGTAGTGTATATTAAGGACATAGGATGGTTTCGGACTGTTTATTGTATGCTATAGACGTGCTACATACCTACCATTCTTATCTGATGACATACAAATACCGCAGTCATCAATCTTAAGATTCTGCTTTACATCTGTTATTTTAGATATTATAATTATGTATCATTTCATGTTAGAAAGTAAATAATTTAGTTTAGAAATACCATTCCGTGCTACAGCTGTTATGCCTCTGATTACATTTCGGTGTCGATATCATGATTCTGATTATTAATAACTAGTCGATGTCTTAGCTTTTGTTATGATATCGGTTCCGTTCCTATTTCATTCTAGTCGTTCCTGCTATAACTTAGTCAATTAGAATCCCATTTGGAAAAGTACTTTATGAAGCATGCCTGAAATATATTTTTCTATTAATTTTTAGGTAATGAGAGCAAAGCGTCAATATGGTCGGCAAGAAGTTCGGCATCCCTCAGATGTCGCTTCAGTATCGGGGAAGAAGATATCAATACCATGAAAAAGGTAATGTTTATCTTTCATCACAGAACGTTATATTTAAGCTGGTTTTGAATATATGTTTAGAATGGCATTGTGTATTGTGTAACTATATCCTGTTTTGTTGCCTATTGTCAATGTATTCATAAAGCATAAGTCATATTTGTGGTGAAGTGCACAAGGATGTCATTAGTGGTTTACCTATCGGGCGTTTGGTGGTCCTGGTAGCACTTTGTAACACGTTTAAATATTAGGCTTAAATAGTTTAGACTTTTGACTCACTAGCGAGTCCCAGATGGACGAAACAGCTGTTAAATGCAGTTAAATTCATTATTGAGATCTATGGTATCAAATTATAAATTGGCATTTTAAGGTGCAATTATCTTTTGCACAATATTATTTAACAATGAAACTAATAAGCATTGGACGTACCCTTTAAAACGTAGCTAACTTTCTTTAAGAACAACCAGGTATGATTTTTTCATCATCGTGTTTTTGATTTCTTAGATATTATGTAAGCCTCAGTTTCAACAACAGTTCATATAGAACTCACTCAGAAGGTTATGTTGTTCATCATTTTGATGTCGCCTTCATTCTAGCCATGAATTGCACATTGTATTTTATTTGCCTTCTTTCCAATGATTATTTTGATAGCTGCTTTCCTTTGAGATCACCGTGTTTTGAACATATTTGAATGTGAATTTGTTGAATGGATCATAATATGATTAATCATTATGGTCCAGTGATATCATGTTGTCACAATTTGTTTACCATGCAGGAGGGTACGCTAGAGCAGTCGATGATGGAGGCACTCCTGAACGATCGGATCGATGCTGTTAAGGTCCTCATAGAGAATGGTTTTCAAATGCAAACCTTCCTCACAATAGCACGTCTGGAAGAGCTCTATAATACGGTAAATGTCCTAGGAGGAAGTTTATAAAGTGGAAACCTATAGGTCTTGACAGAGATTTTATCTGTTTTAAAGCAATAGGATTTCTGGGCGTAATAGTTAAGAGTAGTTTTCTATCTTTCTATCAAATATCACAGGTGACATGGAGGTGTGAAAGCAACTAGTTCAAGTCGGTCGTTAGTCTTTTTTATTATTAACTAAGATATATATAAACGTAATGTCTGTCATTTTTCATGTCCTAGCTAGTAGTGACAATAGCTTTTAATTATTCTAATGTTTTTGTCTCCGTTGTATTTCCTAGCGTACATAATGTTGAGTGCGGATACTGATAATGTCTAAATTGACAAATATCATTTGTTGTAATGGAGAGATTGAAACCAGCTAATACTTTTGTTATCGTAACGTTGATCGTAAATTAAAGATTCGATAAATACTATACAATGATGGTTAAAATGTTTCATGACATCTAGATACCAGGACATGTAGATTTAAAGTTTCTACATGATGATATACACTTACATATCGTTTATTCTATGTTCAGAGACTCGGGCCTGCAAACACTCTACGGCATCTTGTACAGGACACCAAGAAAAAGGTACACATATATAGATACATCCATTGTTCCTAGATATCTGCTGTCACAACGTTATTCTTAGTCTTTGATATAATGATAATGATATATAACATATTAATAAAAGCCTTTGCCTCTGTAATAAAGGACGACATTTATGCATGATGGATCCCGATTGACGCTCAGAAATCAATCGGAATGAACATGAAATTAACAATGCCCCGTTCCGGTGCCGTCACTGTCGTTTCGTGTCTGACTTGTGTATTTAGTATTGCCATACCAGATCAGTATTACTTTGTACCTTGTAAGATGCTTTGATTAGGTTTTTTTTATTTGTTTTGATTTCTATTGGTTTCAGAATATCTCCTCCAGCTATCGCTATACGATGTTGGATATCGGGGCTGTGGTAGAACAGTTGATGGAGGGAGCCTATCGGTCAGGGTACTGCCGTAAACGATTTAAACAGAAGTATAACGCCATTAAACGCAACGTAAGACTGGTTTATTGTAAAATATATATATGATAAAAAAACAAAAAACAAAAATAAAAACACAAGCAGAAATACCAACATGTCACCATAATCATAATCCAAACTTAATTTAACATTAAATAAAACTAGGACAAAGTGTAAAAAAAAAATTACACGGATACTCATGGAAAAGTACAAGGATAATAAGACCAGGTGTATCGGGAGAGTAAGCGTCTTCTACTTCATCGACAACACCCGCCATGTAAACCTTGGTCAATCCAAGTAAGAAATATCACGTTCTCAAATGATAACAATAACGGAAAAAACGGGCGAACTAACAAGCATCAAATACGTCCAGCTTCATATCGCACAAAGACATAGAGGATCTCTCAAAGAGAGCACTATGACGACCGGAAAACTTCCGTATAACGTACCTCTCAGTGTTTAAGTTATACAAAGGTATTCGATGAGTCAGGTGCTTACTGTGTTGGAACATATAATATCTTAACCCTGGTACTGTATATAAGCTGTTATATACTTTTTAACACTTATCATCAATCATATTTTTATATAATTATGACTATACAAACGCGCCAAGCTCCAAAATATACTAAATCTGCGTGACGTTATAAACAATGATCTGTTTGAGGAGGACAAAAAGACTTAACTATGATACAGTTTATTTCATTAAATTTCATCTACTCTATTTAATTCCTAGTTCGCATTGAAAGATGTTATTTATATGCTTGTCACAATGCTCGATATGTTTCAATTCCTTGAATTTATTGAAAATGCGCGCATGGACTGGTTATTTTAACATATTTCAATATTAAGAATTCGTTTTTGAAATTATTATTATCAATATCAATTTTCCGATATATCTTGAGATTCTTTAATTGCATAGATTTTGACAATCTCGTGATATGAGATCACTGGAGAGTCTTAGGAGATTGTACAGATGATGCACTAGTAATTTGATGCAAACTTTTGAAATAAAATGCATTAGAGCAAAACAGTGAATTGAACGGCATCATACTGCTGTTTCGTCAACAATTCTAAGGGCCTAGATGTTAAACCTCCGCCATATTAGAATGATCTGAGATGAATATTCTGATCAGGCCTACTAATGTTAACGACATTGGGAGTTTGATCTTCATGTTGAGTTATAAAAACGTTCATGTTTACAGAGTATTGTCGGAAACATGGGAAGACTGGTGACATCTATGCCCATGATCATGGATACCACAGGAGCTCAGGAGCTTTTCCCTCTTCCCTTCCATGACTTACTGATTTGGGCAGTCCTTATGAAACGACAAGATATGGCCGTGTATCTATGGCGACAGGGAACCGAGGCTATGGCTAAGGTATGTGTAAATGTCGACAATGTGTTTACTACGGTAAAAGGGAGACAATGCAAGGAGCAAGGTGTTCATCAAGGATAAAAGAATATCTAAGGTACGTAAAAAGTGTATATATGGCGACACGGCAACGAGGCAATGGAGAAGGTATGTATCTATAAAGAGAAGGCAAATTGACATATATGTAACTATGGCTAAGATTTGTACTTGTTGCGAGAAATCAACGAGGCCATAACTAGTTATTTAAGTAAGATGAGCAGGCAAGGAAGCAACGGCGAACGTTTGTATAAATGCCTACAAAGTGTTTACAAATCCTAAAGAGAGGAAATAAAAAGAGTCAATCTTTATTTTAGATAAAAGGGTAATACAACAAATACTAAGATTTTCTAATAAAATTTCAGTCACCGCTCACGATAACATCGTAACATATATGTCTTTTGCAAAGACCCGTGCTATCCTTAATTTAATTGAAATGATAAAAAATAGGAGAGGCATAATTGATTGACCATGTATATACTGAATGCAGGTAGAAAACATAGAATATACAAGATATGAAAGGTTTCATCCTTAATTGATGAAAGATTTTTTTTATTTGTTAAATTATTGAATTATTGAATATTACATATCTTAACACTTAAATAATAATTATATTCAATACAACATTGAAGGCATTAGTGGCGTGTAAACTAAATAAGGCGATGGCGGCAGAAGCTGACCGATACGATCTGGAAGTGGACATCTCGGATGGCCTTCGGTCAAACGCCAAGTAAGCTTTAAATCTGTCAATGTAATGTTGTCTCTGTCATAGTTTTGTTTATCTGTCTGTCTTAATGCCATCATCTCTTTCTCTCCGTTTCTGTCTATGTCTTTCTCCCTGACCTGTATTTTTCTGTCACTCTTTCTCTGTATTTCTCTCTGTGCTGTTATGTTTCTGGATCTGCCTCTCTACCACTTTCGTTTTCTGCCTCAGTCCGCCCCTAATACGTAAGATCTCTATAAACACCAATGATGTTAAAAATATTATATATATATTTATACTTTCCCAAACAAGATCGTCGTTGATTTCAGGGTCTTTATGAAATTATCCCTGGAGCTGTTGGAACACTGCTACAAGATTGATGATGCATGCACTCAGCATTTATTGACATACGAGCTCAAGAACTTCAGCAACCAAACATGCATTGGCTTAGCAGTGTCTGCCAATCATCGAAAGTTTGTAGCCCATAGATGTTGCCAGATCCTCCTGAACGATATGTGGATGGGCGGGCTTCGTACACGGAAAAACAGCAGTTTGAAAGTATGTTGATGTATGTTGCAATATCACACACCTGTGTTAAAGACATGAAATGTGTATACTGTAAGATTAATCTTGTTTACTTTACAATTATTAACTAAATGGGTGGAAGACGTCTTCTTTGATAAGAGGTTGTTTAAATATTTCTACACAATTGGAAGTAAGTCAAAATCATTCATTTGAACGAACGTGGTAGCAATTCATCCCAGCATGCAACCAGTCCAATTTCAGACCGAACAAGGAAATATTACATTTCCTGAAGGGATGATACTATTGTCCACAAAGCACTTTCATAATGTCATACGGCATTGGCTTGGAGACAACATCATGATGCTGATCATAAAACTTCGCCATTATCTTCATTAAACGGCAATTCTTGAAACAAGGAATAATATGTTTATACATTAACTTTCGATATCTTGCACGAAAACCGCTATATAGGGAACATGCCTTTGGTGACTAATTACAGAACATCGTGCTAGAATGAGTTTGCTGGGTTAATCATTGGTGACTAAGTTACTGAATCTCATGTGAGAGGCATGTCGCATGCTATACTGAGCATAGGTGTTAAAGTGCAGTGCCCAAGGACATGACACACAACGGTTTGAAGTCACAGCTTCATGAGAATTCATGAGAAACCTGATTCGACCCACGTAGTGATAGATTAACATATGTAGAATCAGGAAACACGTATACCATGTCTGTTAGTGTACTGTGTTACGTAATACACTAAAGAGAAATGACAATGACTAAACAATAGTATTAATATTTTGATATTCTTGTCGCGTCAAATAAATAATGTATATGATAATTATATTAAAACGAATAGACATATTAAACTGATACCAATAATACTGTATCTGTCTACATATGCAAATCTGTCCATATTTTCTGGTCTGATTTATCATTATCGAAAGTGAGACTTCAGGTCTAGGTTTTACGTTATTGTGTCTGGTGTCACATATGATGTCATATTAGATTTGAATATGTCATCTTCAATTAATGTGTTTTCATCGGCTGGTAGTCCCTAATTAATGTAAGCCGTACTTCTCTTTCAATAGGTGATATTAGGAATCCTTTGCCCTCCATGCATAGCTGTTCTCCAGTTCAAGACTAAGGAAGAACTGAAATTGATGCCACAGACCCTTGAGGAACATTTGTATGAACTCCAGGCTCAGGGTCTGAATGACAGAAATATGTCAATCAGTGACGAGATGAACTCTGGAAATGTTAATGAGGTAATATTCATGTATCTTATTTTATTCTCACGCAAATTAATTTATCAGCTTCGTCTTCATATCTCAAAATATAGAAATGTGCTATCACTGTCATTTTATCTTTTCTTTAAATTAGAATATGTTCCAAATAATATATCCATTTTTTAAAATAAGTTATCTGGGATACATTTGAATTTATTATCTGAACTCGTTTTGAACGATAGAAAGTCTATTACATTTTTAGGGCCGACGGTTTAAGTGGTGTTTAAACTGTGATCCTATAGGAAACAATCTATTGTCGTTACCCGTAATTATCCTAAGTAGTAAAACGACCTAATATAAATTTGCGTGTTTTGTGTTACTTAGGAAATTATTCATTCTGATTCTTGTTTTTTCTAAATGTTTTAAATAATGTGTAATTACGTTGTTTGTCATTTTACTGTAGTGTTTCCACAGCGAAGAGAACACGGAAACAAGTTTTCAGACCCCAACGTCATCCAATCCTAGTGTGCCAACCAGTCCAAGTGTAAACAACAGTCCAAGCTTCCATTTAGGTCGCTCTGTTCTGAAGTCTCAGGAATCCACTACCACTGACGCGTCGGCCGTCACAGACAATTCTTACGGAATCTATTTTCCGGCAAAAAAGAAAGAACTCCGATTGGACAGAAAAGTCTACGAGTTTTACAATGCTCCAATCACTAAGTTCTGGATGAATGCAGTAAGTGAAAACTTAGTTCATACTTAATGGCATTACGATGTGGATGTTGTGTTAGAATACCTTCATTCCCGCTGTTAATACTCAGCATGAAAGATGGATAATCTTAGTGTGACAAATTTGCACGCTTTGATAGCAAAATACTTGTGCTATTGCATATGAAGACCTCGTTTATTCTTGTTGTGTATTTCGTGTTTGTTTTTGTAATGCATTATCAACCCAATGTTAGCGGTTATCGATATTAGAAATGGCGATTTCGCAAGAGCAAGCGGTCTTTTCACTACGCTTATTATATGTATATTGGCAATGTTTGCTTACATCCATTGTTCTTATACACACAGGTTTAAAAAAGAAGTAAATAAAATATTTAAGGTAATGATTTGCTCTTCGATTCATCCTTCTATAGTAGGCGTTGTCGATGACGCTCTCTTGGCGCCATCTACTACTTTCGCCAAAAAGTGACTTTTCAAAAACCTTGAAGGTACTAAAAATTGTATTTAAATTTTAAAAACATTTGTATTACTAGGTTTACAAAACATTTAAAGCATTTCCCTCCTTTATTATGGTGGATTTGCGGACGACATCCTGATCTGATATAAATTATGTATATTTGTGCGATATGAAGTGTCCGATTCTTGTCTGAAAGTTTTATTATCATTGTATGGTCATTCATGTAAATCTTGCGTATATTCACGTTTTGTCATAATATCATCAATTTTAAGCCTGGATTGAAATTCCGTTGATACATTAGTGTCTTCTTACATTCTGTTTTACGTATCTCTGTGATATATAATTGTTTGGTACAACAAAATTGCTAGCGATCGTGCTTATGGGAATTCTCAGTAGTTTGGGGTACGATGTCAATTTCTCTGGAGACAGGAACTATAACCCCATTTTGACTGAACTCAGGGTTAATAAACATTTTCGTTTCCTGGTTAGGTCTGAAATATCAAACATTTCTGATTGTTGTTACAGATGAGCTATATTCTGTTCCTTATGTGCTACACATACGTTGTCCTTGTGAGAACCTACCCGGAACCCAAGTGGCAAGAAATGGTAGTCATGGTGTATGTAGCCACTATAGCACTGGACAAAATCAGATCGGTAAGTCAAAAGTATGACGCACCGACCCAATAATTATACCGCACTGGACAAAATCAGACCGGTAAGTCAAAAGTATGACGTACCGACCCAATAATTATACAGCACTGGATAAAATCAGACCGGTAAATAAAAAGTATGACGTACCGACCCAATAATTATACAGCACTGGACAAAATCAGACCGGTAAATAAAAAGTATGACGTACCGACCCAATAATGATACAGCACTGGACAAAATCAGATCGGTAAGTCAAAAGTATGACGTACCGACCCAATGATTATACAGCACTGGACAAAATCAGACCGGTAAATAAAAAGTATGACGTACCGACCCAATAATTATACAGCACTGGACAAAATCAGATCGGTAAGTCAAAAGTATGACGTACCGACCCAATAATTATACAGCACTGGACAAAATCAGACCGGTAAATAAAAAGTATGACGTGCCGACCATATAAAGTTGAACATATCGTGACATGCATTCTGCAGAATGTATCGCGTCTACACATGACAAATTCCACTTATAACAGGATCTATGGAATTATCATCAAAAATCATAAGTAGAAAAAACAAGTTAATTCAACTTCGACCGAAATGTGACATATCTGTTTGTTTATGAACTTTCACACCACTTAGAACAAATGATTGTGTCTTCATAGTTTCACAATTGTTGTTTCCCTAATGGTATCTGGTTACCAAACATTCCTTAACTGACATAAGGAGTGGTGAACCTGTATAAATCAATCTGCATATACAATGTCATTTCTGTTTTCAGATCATAGCATCAGAACCAGTCAACTTTACAAAGAAGATGAATTTGTACTTCAGCCAGAAATGGAACATATGGGACACTATGGCTTTAACAAGCTTTGCCATGGCAGTAACTTTACGATTTATACCGGCCACTTTACGAGACGCCCGTATTTTATACACAATAAATATTGTGTTCTGGTACCCAAGAATTCTACAGATGATATCAGTCAACAGATACCTCGGACCGTACATAAAGATAATGGCCAAATTGGTGAGTGGTTTTAATTGCCCCAATTTCAGCGAATTTCGTTAATGATGTTTCCACATGTTGGTATTCGTTTTTATGTATTGGTGTTTTCATAAACCAGAATAAAACAGTTTCGATGAATGTCAAATTTAATTGCTCAATTAAGTACATAAATGCAAACTGTGTTCTTATGAAAGTATCCGACATCGTGATATTTTGTATGTCTTTGATAACATCTTAATTTAGTGGAAATTCTATGTTTACTAACAAACGTTGTCGAGTTTGTCCCTCACATCGAGTTTTAAGTTTAAACTAATATGTATTTATAAACTCATTTTCTAAAACTGTGTATTTTTTTTAATTTGTAGTTCATAGACATGTGTTACTTTACCGTCATCATGGTCATAGTAGTGATAACGTTTGGAATCGTCAGACAGTCGATACATTTTCAACATGAAGAGCCCTCCTGGAAACTCGTCCGGAACGTCTTCTTCTACCCCTATTGGATGATCTACGGCGAGTTGTTTGCTCACGAAATCGACAGTAAGATATATATCGTTAATGCATTTAAGAGGGTTTTTTCTCCACCCAAAATGCTGACATGTTGCAGCTGACTCAATATTTTAAGTGTTGTCCTAATACCGTATAGCTGGTGATTTACGAGGGTCGAAACCTTCACTGGATTTGTTTCTTTAAAAAGACTTAATTATATATCAATGAATCAAAAGTTCGCGCTATCGATGTAAAAGGACATCATATATACGCTTGTCCCATTGTTTCAGGTGCTTAATTTTCGCGATCACTTTATTGTAATGTGGAAAAAATAGTGAAAATATCACTCCTATACGATATCACAATATTTATTTATGATGCCTCAACTTAACATACCTAATAATGAGGTTATTTGGTCACCAGCATGACCTCAATATTTCGTACCTTTGTGCGGTATGAACCCGCATGCGTTCAAAACTCGTTGCTAAGTGAGAAAGTCTCGTTGCTGTATCTGATTCTCAATTAATTGACCTATCGGGTATATTTGCATTGGTGGTACCATTAATTAAGCAGAAAAAGCTTACCCTTCTGGGACTCCCAGATTCGTTCTCGGTGAACATTTATCAAGCGTTCCTATTGACTTTTCATTTTCCTTGTTGTTACCTCTAAATAGACACGTTACCACAAGATGTCTTTATAGCTCAAAATGCCAAAAAAACAATACATTATAGAATATTCCAGGAGTTTAAGATTCTGTTGACATGTCATTTATGAGTTTTGTTGCCATGAATAATTCTAATTGGGTTATTAATATCATGAAATTGTAATTAGTTACAAATGTAGTAGCTTTACGACATTTCATTCTTACCGCTCTTTGTAGGAGCTGGAATAATGATTATTATGTAATTAATATTCTCCAAATAATACATTCATATTTCCTTCACTTTTTTTCTTTATTTTCCCTAGCGTGTTATGATCCCGACAATCACCCTGGTGGCTGTACATACGGGTCCTGGGTCGCTCCTGCCTTCATGTGTGTTTATCTTCTCCTCATCTATGTCCTACTCGTCAACATGTTAATCGCCCGCTTCAAGTAAGTCTCGAAGATGAATTGTTGGATGTTAACCGACAATCAAATTAAGAATAGTCTTGTTGCAAGACTGTTGTGAAGTGAAAGTATTTATTTGAGGATTTTAGAAAGCTCCAAATGAGATATGACCGGCTTGAACTCCATTTCTACTACTAAACCCATTTCAAAGCAGAACAACCCCCTTCATTCTGAGGTTATGATATCTTTCTCTTCAGTTGTGAACAGTGGTACAAATAAAAGCGTACTTCGTGAAAATACGCCTAAATCAAAGACGAATTTATATATGGAATGATATCGTAAAAGTCGAATGAATTTCTGGACGAAAATATTTTTGTCGAGTTTGATGAATAGATCAACAGACAAGTGGCATATCTGTCTCATTTTGCTTTCCACATGACGCTGAATCTATCGCAGCGCTTAGCAAATACCCACAAACCTTGCAAAGTCATTCAATTTAAAATTTAGAAAAATATTAATAATGTTTTTTATCTAGATAACAAGAAATGTTTTGTCTGTGCCCACCATATAAACCCACCAGAAAGTCAAGCACACGTCATACTTCTACGTTTGTCTTTGACTTTGATCTAATCCTAAAATCAAACAAATCAAACTTTCCACCAAACGCTATAAGCGTGATTGTTGCAAATTCCCCGTTGAGTATTACTCTGCTCCTGGATTAACAAATTTGGTCTTCATCAGTTGTCGCCTAGATTTCGAATTATAGAAACTTATCGTCATTATCGAGTCCATTAAAAAGGGCAAAAAAGCTGAATGATACAGCTTAATTCATTATTTAGCTCTAGTGCATCTAATTCGAAATTGGTATTGAAAGGTACTATTTGCTTCTGGGGCTTTTGTACAAACTCCAAATATCACGATTGTCTGGCAAGATGTCGGCAACTGCCAGATAATTATCGGGTTTCCAGAGATACAGATTGATAAAGATAATATAATCGTTATATTATGATTGATGCTCGTTAGTTTGCCTGATGGTTTCGTTGTTGTTTGTACTTTGTCCATTGGAACATGACATTAATTACTTAAAATGACCAAACTTTCATGTTGGGTGACATGGCTGAAGCAGGACACGATCACTCTTCCGAAACGTCTGGTCTCATTATCTTTATACTTTTTCAGGGTCCGTGTAAATGGTTCTTTAGTTTTGTTCGGTTTGATGGTACATGAATCACTCAGAACGTTTCATAGATTAAAAGGAATTTTGAAAATTAAATCAAGAATAACACGTTGTGGTGCTTTTGTTGGTTTGCGTATGTTATTATAACACAACACACACACACACACACACACACACACACACACACACACACACACAGCAAAATAAAAACAAAACAAAAACAAAAAAATTGAAAAACAAATTTATAGCATATCAAAAAAGTAGAATTGGTAATTTTCTAAAAGTCATATCTGTTTATTGTTTGTTTTTTTAATTTGTATCTCTTCCTCCATACAATATATAGCTTTCTTCTATCTAGGATATCACTCCCGTACACAACACCGTTATCAGTAAGCAACTTTCCAATTACAGACATTAATACCTAAAACACATTAAAACAAATAAAAGAGTAGACAGATAAACAAGCGAAGTTAATTACCAGCCTGTATGAACATTTATTGATATCATCAAAAGAGTAGATAGATAAACAAGCGATAAGATACATTGGTAAGAAGAAGTTCATTACCAGCCTGTGTGACCATTTATTGATATTATCAAAAGAGTAGATAGATAAACAAGCGATAAGATACATTGGTAAGAAGAAGTTCATTACCAGCCTGTGTGACCATTTATTGATATTATTGTATTTACCATTGCAGCGCTACTTTTATCGCTAACGTGTCCAATGTAAAAGAGATATGGAAGTTTCAGCAATATATGCTTGTTATGAGATACAAAATGTGCCCCATCTTACCAGCTCCATTGGTGTTCATCAGTCACATATTCCTCAGCGTAAGATACCTTATTCGACGATGTAAGGGGACAGACTCAAAGTTTGAGAACGGCTTGAGTAAGTACATCTGTCCGACTTAATTTATTTTCTCCCAGATTGTACAGTTATCATTCGGATACACTATGCATGATACTCTTGAATATCAACCATGTTTCATTATTACTATACAATTCGTAATCTGTTAAGCGATCGAGTCTATTTCTAATTCAAAGCAAATTCGTAATTCTTAATATATGCATTGATACAGCATTTTACAATGCTTTTTAACTGGTGTAATTATATATAATATTGCAACACGTATTGGCTAAATATATATTTTTGTCGTAGTCCCATCATCTCCTTTCTTCCACAGAACTATTTTTGTCCCACAAGGATACTGATCACCTACATGAGTTTGAGTCAGAATGTGTAGAAGATTACTTCCGGCAAACAGATACGGACTTCCGGTCATCACAAGCGGAAAGAATACGTGTTATAGATGAAAGGTAACGATATACACTTTATTAAACAATTTCTTATTATTACTTTCATTCACAAAAGCAGAACACTGAAATTGTTCTGAAATATAGATGTTATATAATGATTTTGGAATGAAAACATGTACACATTCACGCTTACTAATTGGATATTTTCCAATAACTTATAGAACAGAGAAGCTAAATCTCGGACTGGACGGTATATCACAGAAAGGTCAGTGTATGAAGCTGTCCTTACAAAGTGCAAATCAAAGAATGGCTAACCTGGAGGATATTTCCAAAAGGACTTCCGAGGCGCTCCAGAGCTTGAAGACGTTGCTGGATCTCGGAGTAAAAAGTATTGGTGCCAATGGTTTCGCTTCGTGTGTAAGCAGCATTGAACAGTCCTTGTCCATAAATAATACTTCCGATAGTAGTTCTTCTGAAGACAACGAAAGTATAAAGAATGGTGATGATACTATATCAGTGAAGAGTGATTCCTCACCAGCGGATCCGTGTGTTATATCAGTACCAAAGACAATGACTCCAAATGAAGACGACAAGGAGTGTGACGCGAGCAAGGAGACAGAAGAAGGACAAAGACTGTTAATACATGTTTATGGTGATAACAATGAACAAAACCCTGAACCAGTGACAAAAGATGTATCAGACACTAAAGAAAATGAAAAGAACAATCTCAATACAGCGGAGGTCCGTGTTCGAAGGGTGTCAGCATGAAGCTATTTATGTTTTACATGATAATAAAAATTTTAATAGGATTTTAAGCAATCGCCTATCAAGTAGCATGCATGTCTGGCCTTAAGAGTAGATAGATTACATGTGCTAATAGTGAATCAGAAACGTGATAATCCTACCCGCATATATCACAGGTTATCGCAAGTAATATTGGAACGGTCCGGACATATAGAAGATTGTACAACAGGAACAATTGTGTTGAAAAGTTGAAGTCTTTTGTATCTTTATCTTTTTCCGCTGTATTATTCACTTAACTTTTGACTGATCTCTTTATAAGCCTTTTTCGTGAAATCATATAGCATTGTTTTCGCTAGTAGAGGTTTCGTCTTAACAAGCCTTGGTAGAGTGATCGCTCTTTGTTTTCTTTCTCTTATTTCTGTCCGTCTGTAGGCTTATTATCATTTTATTTTCCTTTTTGCACACGTTTCATTTTGATAAACATGATGTCCCGTCCCTGTAGTCCTTATGTTAACTTTTATTTTGACCTCTTCTTTAATCTCCCTCAATCGTCTGTTAGTTTCAAATTTTAGGCTCTTAACATCACTGACGAGCCCTAGAAGGAGAAGGAAAGTAGCATACTACAGGTTTTACTGTATCTGATTATAATCTGTGTTGCAAGATTTTGTTTTGAGAGAAAGCTCCCGCAGAACCAATATATATATATATATGTATATATATGCGGTATCATTCTTTTGAGTTCTGTTTTGCAGTAAATGTGTGAGTAAACAAATATATGCATAATTGTTTTTTGGTCGATGACTTCATACATACAGCTGTCAGAATCCAAGGTGGCAACCTGCCAGTTTTTATCAGGCCTAAGCACTGACCAGTTACAATTGGAGAACATTGGGAATTTAAGTTTGTAATTTGACTTCTACTTCTAGAAAAACAGTGGTAAAGTTTGTTTCTTGCCTGCTATCGCCTACTGTTCTGTGACATTCGCTTCGATCGTTTCTTTGCCAGTGATATGTGTATAAAAGATAATTCTTGTTTTTTGCTGTTTTTTTTTTTTTTGTTTTGTTTTTTGTTTGTTTGTTTGTTTTTTTTTTTGGCTCATTCTCATTCTGATAACTAGATCATTCGTTACATTTGTACTTATTGATATTAGAACTTTTTCTAAGGGTATTTTCTTGCTTAGCCGTATCTTGCTACTTTCTTACTTTACTGAAAACATCACATCTAACTGTTAGAGAAATTAAATTGTCATTAAAGAAAAATTCCTTTAAAAAATAAAACAAGATACATATATTAATGTATTGCAATAAATCAAATATACCCCACTGAATACAAAACAACACATTAAATAAACATTCTGAAAAACATTGATTTGTTTTAAAATGTTGACTAATTGATCACGTGATCGCTCCTGATTTTATGTTTACCTTTGTTAATCAGGGGTTTTGTTTCTCTATTAAACTGTATTGTACACAGCGATGTTGTTAAGTCTTATTCTTATCGTAACTACTAATCCATTTCAGATAACATCAGTTTATCAACAATCTATTGCAGCAGGTTGTCCATTGGGAGCTACACAAGGTCATTGTTCATGAGAACGTTTGTTATATAACAGTTATATATAGAATGGACAAGCATTGCAATATTTACTGAATATTTTATTGGTGCATGGTATCGGTACTAGATTCGTAATCTAAACTCGAAACTGCTTCATATTTTACAGAAATGAAAATATGTACTGCATGACAAGTTTTACCAACAAGTGTTGAACATGTCGATGAATGGAAGTCCCAGAAGGACGATACAGCTATAAAGCGTATTTTCTAATTCGAACTCGTTTTGAAAGCAGCTATTTTTCTGCTGATTTCGTTATTTGGTAGCCATGATACTGATATCAAATTCTACGTTCTGGGTATATGGAGTAGCTTATGTTATAATAACATTTATCATGTGTTTAATACCAATAACACCGTGTTTGTATGTGTGACAAGTCTGTATTTGATATCAGACTCTCAACCCTAAAGTGATATCTAACCCCTAAAGCGATATTACACCCTGAGGTGATAACACACTCCTAAAGTGATATTTCACACCCGAAATGATGTCACATCCCCGAAGTGATATCACACCCCTAAAGTGATATCACACCGCAGAAGTGATATCACACCCAAGAAGTGATAACACACCCCTGAAGTGATTATACACCCAATGAAGTGATATCACACACCCTGAAGTGATATCACTCCCCTGAAGTGAAATCACACCCCCGAAATGATGTCACATCCCCGAAGTGATAACACACCCCCGAAGTGATAACACACCCCCGAAGTGATATCACACCCAATGAAGTAATATCACACACCAGAAGTGATAACACGACCCCAAAGTGATATCACTCCCCTAAAGTGATATCACACACCAGAAGTGATATCACACCCTGAAGTGATTATACACCTAATGAAGTGATATCACACACCCCGAAGTGATATCACAGCCCCGAATTGACATCACATCCCAAAGTGATATCAGATCCCCGAAGTGATATCACACCCCCGAAGTGATATCACATCCCGAAGTGATAACACGACCCCGAAGTGATATCACACCCCCGAAGTGATATCACATCCCGAAGTGATAACACGACCCCGAAATGATATCACACCCCCGAAGTGATATCACATCCCGAAGTGATATCACACACCCTGAAGTGATATCACACCCCATGAAGTGATTTCACACACCCCGAAGTGATATCACTCCCCTGAAGTGATATCACTCCCCTAAAGTGATATAACACCCCAGAAGTGGTGTCAAAACCACTAGAATGCTATGTGAAAACCCCTCTCATTTTTCAAAATTTTGCTTCTCCCGCTTATCCCTACCTGATTTTAATATAAATATTGTTGTCCTGGAAAAAAATGTGGGTTGTTTTTCGTCTCACTCAAATTTCTGGATGGTGCCGTTTCTAGATTGGTTTCGCTTATTAGTGATTCAGCTGTCGTCTGCGAACGTAAATAGCTAAACATGGCGTCTAGGACTAATGATGCCAAAGCAATTTTAGAAGAACGTGTGGTAAGAATTGTCGAGTTTGATGAGTTCAAGAGGGAAAAAAATATGACAAAATAGCTATTATATGACGAGTTTGATATCACACTCCTAATAAGCCTTCTAGTCCTCTGGCTAATTTATAAGGACTCTCGGACTGATAAGGCGTGTGATATCGAAATGATCATATAATCAATAATCTCTAAACAGCGAATGTGATAGTAATATGAATAAAGCATTAATCAGGACCACTGAGGTGTGTCATCTCAGAGGACCAATGCTTGAGAAATCCGATGTCTCAGAGTTCTGGACAATCTGTTTAAGAGTTAAATAATCATCATATTCATTTTCGAAGTATATGCGAAATCTACATTTAAACATAATCTTCCAATCAAACTCGACTTAGTGAACAGGATACGAATGTCGAGGTCGCATAACGGTATGTTGTATTGTCGTTGAAGTTGGTTGTCGCTCATTGGTAATCTTCTAGGAAGCGTACATGTGTTTTTTTTCTCCTGAAACCCGCTTTAGACCAAGCATATAAATTCGTTTGTACCTTAGTATTATCGCTCTGACCAGGATGTAACCATTGGAGTGCTGACAGGTTAGCTGGACTATGACAATATCCGACACCATATGTCACCAACACCAAGATAACAAAAGACACTTATTTGAGCATGTGTCAAGATATAAAAGACGGACTTTGTTTTGAACTATAAAGCTTCGAGAAATCAATATTGAAAACAATTAACAATGTCACGATGAATAATGAGATATGACTATCATAAAAACCGTTGAAGAGGGTATCCCTTTGAGGTCATTATTTGTCTTTTGTGTCTTCTACCTAAAGGATATTAGAGAAACCAAAGTTAATATTTCCCATTGCAACACTTTGGATATCAACCTTTTCTTTTCCGCCCTGTCTACTGCTCTTACTATCCCTGTTTTATACTTTTCTGTCCTGTCTACTGCTCTTACTATCTCTGTTTTATACTTTTTCTGTCCTGTCTACTGCTCTTACTATCCTTGTTTTATACTTTTCTGTCCTGACTACTGCTCTTACTATCCCTGTTTTATACTTTTCCGTCCTGTCTACTGCTCTTACTATCCCTGTTTTATACTTTTTCTGTCCTGTCTACTGCTCTTACTACTAGTATCCCTGTTTTATACTTTTTCTGTCCTGTCTACTGCTCTTACTATCCCTGTTTTATACTTTTTCTGTCCTGTCTACTGCTCTTACTATCCCTGTTTTATACGTTTATGTCCTGTCTATTGCTCTTACTATCTCTGTTTTATACGTTTATGTCCTGTCTACTGCTCTTACTATCTCTGTTTTATACTTTTTCTGTCCTGTCTACTGCTCTTACTCTCCCTGTTTTATACTTTTTCTGTCCTGTCTACTGCTCTTACTATCCCTATTTTATACTTTTTCTGTCCTGTCTACTGCTCTTACTATCTCTGTTTTATACTTTTTCTGTCCTGTCTACTGCTCTTACTATCCCTGTTTTATACTTTTTCTGTCCTGTCTACTGCTCTTACTATCTCTGTTTTATCCCTGTTTTATACTTTTTCTGTCCTGTCTACTGTTTTATACTCTGTACTATCCCTGTTTTATACTTTTTCTGTCCTGTCTACTGCCCTGTTTTATACTTTTTCTGTCCTGTCTACTGCTCTTACTATCCCTGTTTTATACTTTTCTGTCCTGTCTACTGCTCTTACTATCACTGTTTTATACTTTTCTGTCCTGTCTACAGCTCTTACTATCCCTGTTTTATACTTTTCTGTCCTGTCTACTGCTCTTACTATCCCTGTTTTATACTTTTTCTGTCCTGTCTACTGCTCTTACTATCTCTGTTTTATACTTTTCTGTCCTGTCTACTGCTCTTACTATCCCTGTTTTATACTTTTCTGTCCTGTCTACTGCACTTACTATCTCCGTTTTATTCTTTTTCTGTCCTGTCTACTGCTCTTACTATCCCTGT